ACCATCTATGGCAAATCACCTTGTATACGTCCGGAGATGACTCATGAACCACGATCTCACGACGCTTTTTTATGCCGTACATTCGCACTGCCCTGCATAGGCGCGCTTTATCAGCAAAAAATATGATCTTTGACAGCACCGTTGCTCTAGATTCATCCCACATTGCTGTCCGAATTTCGTCAAGATCCCTTGTGAGGGCAGCCACATCCGGCATACTTGGCAAATGATCAAGGTAGGGAATCTCCCTTGAATGAAACGGCACATAGGACTCGTACACTATTGGTCTAACGGGAGGTGGAGCATGCTCCCTCGTCAAATTAGGTTCAACATTCTCGTCTTCATCATCATCACCCTCATCAGGGAAGGGTGTGTCATCTCCATACTCATCAGCATTGTTGTCATAATCACTATTCTCTTCCTGGCCTTGTGCATCTGCCAGATCCCGATTAAATATGTCGTCTTCGGACAATTGAGTAAGGACAAGGCCTTCAAGTTGCTCGTTTTCACTGCACAACCAATAAAATAATAATTTTCTCAAATTGATCCAAACTTTACATATAAACTTTATCACTTCACTTACAAATCATAAAGTGTTGATATCCCATGATGCATATTATCCTGTTGATGATGACTCCCGTATAGACTACCATAATCCAACACACCAAAACTAGGCATATTTCAACTGGCCGTTGGTTCATAACTTGTAAAATTCATATCTGGTCGGTACTCCCTAGGAAATATATAAGTGTTAATACAAATTCAATACATAAAAATAAACATCGTAACACAGAGAAAAATTGAAGTTTACTACTCGGCTTGTGGATTATGTAAACTTGGGGAGAAATTATGTCCTCGCTCCTCATTCGTCCGTGGAGATAAGTTTAGATCAGGCCAAACTCTTTCACCCGGAACCTGTTCGGCAAAAACTGCTCCAAAATAACCACCCGATGATTGAGGGATATCCCTACTTTGCGGAACCTCATTATTGCGAACGTCTTCAGCCTTGACGTATATTTTCAATATTTTTATCATAAGAAATTCTCGGTGTTCATCCGAAGTCCTCAAAAAATCCCTCAGAGTTTCATCGCCTTCGATGTTAAACTCATTATAACAAGCAACCCCTTGCGGAGTAACAGAATACGGATATCTTCTGGTTACATTAATATTCACCGAACGTTTGCTCACACTCATTTTTTTTACATAACATCGATACCAATGTATCGTATTCCATTGTAAGTGGCAACTTAATATGACACTGTGGAGAACAATTATAGCGTACTGAGTTATTCTCCACCACAACCTCACCCCCCTCCCCCCTCCCCCAATATAATGAAACCCTAATTCTTCGCTCTTCAGACATTATGACAAAATGCAAAATAACTTAACGAACAAATATTTAACAAACAAATATTTCGCAAGACATGAAGGATCCTGAATGGATTTTTACAAAATCTTGAAACTCTTTAAATAAGGAAAAAATCAGTCCGGGGTACAATTATTTGATGTATAGCGCCTTAAATATGCACGCTATACCCCTATAAATTATTGGTGTGTCAGTTAAGTCCAGAAGAATTATTGGTGGGTCCAACTTTTATGTATAGCGCGGTTATCAACCGCTCTATACCTTATGAATTATTGGTGTGTCAGTTCATTCAATACAAAAATTATTGTTGGGCCCAACTTTTATGTATAACGCGGTTATTGACCACGCTATATCTTAACGGACAAATGTGCTGTTAAGGTATAACGCGGTGAATAACTGCGCTATACATATTATGATGTCCAGTCTTTTTTTCACATATTATGGTTGCTTGAGTCCAAAAGAACCACACTTTGGTTCCGGACTCTCAGTTTAGTGGTATTGGAATTAAGGTCTTTTGCACAATAGATCCTACATTAATCATTAAAAGGGTCACCGGACATTAGTATAAATTTCGATAGAAATTTTGTATATGTATGTCTTTATATCTTAAAGATAGTTATATAGATAAGTTGACACCTTGAACAATACAAGTGTTTTTGGTGCACTGGTGATCGCTCAAGTTCCCTTACGGCTTATATAAAGTACTTGTTGACCTGGTTCATTTCCAGCTCTAATAACTCTTTTCTACTATTAATAATGGTGTTTCCGTCACGCTAAAATTCAAGGTCTACCTCTTACAATAGATAAATCAATTCTCATATGTTCCAAGTCTTGCTTTCTCTTTCTCTAATACCCCAATATAATAGAAAATATTTCCTATAAATAAAGGAGAAAAAAATACGAAGACGGTTGATTTCCTTTTTTCCTACTTATATAAGTTTAGAAAAATTATTAAATTATTTTTTGTAATAAAAAATTACTCAATTTTACTTAAGTATCGTAGAAAATGTCTCTTTTGTGATACACTAATAGATAGGTAAAGTTGAGTTACTTTATAAATTATAAAAAAGGAATTTTGTAATTTTGGTATAATAAAGTAAAAATTGAGTAATTATTCATGGATTAAACCCAAAAATTCAAATATGCGACTCCTACTTTTTTGTCCACCAGGGAAGAAAAAGAGAGGAGAGGGACATGACATTCACCTTATAAACACTAGTCTCAACCTAGTAGAGATTCACTTTAGATATTCAAAAAGCAATATCCATTCTGCTTTATTCGAATCTATTTGATAAACCTAACAGTAAAAATACAATATTATTGATGGATGAAGATTTTATTCAAACCGGACAAATTTGCATTTGATCCTACACTAGGTGGGATATTTTTTGGAACAATGGTGGGTCTAAAGAGTATGATAATTGAACTTTAGCACAGCCCATGGTATGGTATGGTACAGTTTTGAAAACTTCAATACAGTAATTTTGGTTTTTTGATTTTTAAAGTACAATATGATACCAAGTTAATTTCGTATAGTTCGATAATTTTAAGTTTGATTTCGGCAATTTATGATACGGAAAGTTAATAATCAAGGTTGTTCGACAATTGAACGAATAAAGGCACCATTATATAATGACACACTCGAATGCCAACAAGTTTTAAAATACAAAACAAATACAAATACCAACATATAAACACCAAAGTTATAAAATTTTCGATTTCAGCATGATAATTCGATATTTACCGGACAGCCTTACGCCACGAGTATGAGTAATATGCATGATTGTAACTCTTACCAGTCTGAAGCGACTATTCTGGGAAGAAAATGGAAATGGGATAGTGTATTGAAAACCTAGCAACCACCTAAGAATATTTGGATGGATGGAATGGAATCATTCTTTTATTTCAAGTCTTGAGTATAGAGAAACTTCTAATAAGTAGCTGTTATTTTTTATTGTGCCCTACTTGGTATAAATTCAGATAATCGAGCCAGTAGATACCAAATTCAGTGAAGTATATCAAAAATATTGTTAACACCCTACCTATTAATTCTTGCCTCTTGGCATTGCCATCCTTATATGGAACTATAGAAGGACAAGATTCAAATGCTTGAACTCGTGTTCAAATATCTCCCTACCAAAAATCAAGGGAGTGACATAACGTAAAGACAAAGTTTAAAACGTGAAAAAACAATTTTCATCTCTTTGCGCTATTATTCTTAGGATGACTTCTATTTGTCGCCAATTTTCTTCCCTTTTTCTGGGATGTCACATATTAAAATAATGATACGAAAATATCGAAGTAGCTTTCATATCCTGCAACTAGATTTCATGTTTTTTGTCCCATGCCGGAAATTCATGCCTCACTTTAGGGGTTTACTTAGTGAAAAATTAGTCAACACATTAAAGATTAACAATAGCAATTATGCATAATCATAAGAGTCAAAGAAAGATTAATTAAAAAAATATCAACTGAAAAACGAATATGTCTTTGCCAGTTGTTTCAGCAACATATTCATTTTCTATCCTACCTTAGTTGAAGACATTTTTCTGTTCATCTAGCATGCTTAATTTATTTTAAGTAGCAGTTGAAATTGCACTTATATTCCAATTGGACTTGGCTATTATTTCTAATTTCATACTTCTAATCATTGCCAATTAACTGTCTCTCCATCTCAACCGTCAGAACCCCAAAAGGAGAGGGAATCGAATCAATTTGGAAATAAAAATAATATACAAAATGCACAAATAATTGGCAATTGTCAACAGGATATGTGCGTATTATGAATATTATAAATCTTTTCTTGATTTGGAGTAACATTGCAAAATATCTTTATAACTGACAAATATACTAACCATACTAAATATAGGTGTTGGCTACCTTTGGTCAATAGTAGATGGTATTGGCCAAGTTTCGATAATCCAAGATTTTACAATATGTGCTGTTAATGAGCATGAAAGATAGTTCAAGGACTTGTTTTCCCTAAGGAATTTAAGTGCAGGGTTTCGGTTATTGGTTTACTTCATCATGCAATACTTTTTAACTTTTTCTAATCAGGATTTAAGAATATTAACCATATTTTCACCACTAATCGGTGAAAATCAAAAGTATCCATATTAGTAAGGTCAATCTGACCATTTTAGTAGTGTACAAGCTAGCTCACAGTTCAATGAGATTTACATCTAATAGGAGTATATCCTAAATAAGGTCAAAGGGTGCATTTATTATCACATTTAGAATATCCACCACAATTTCTGTACATAGAGTTAAAAAATTTCAGCAACTAGAGAGATGTCCAGACCAATTTGTGCCTATTTATTTCATTGAATACATGCTACTTTCCACTGACACATACAAATAATTCCACCAAAGTTTAAGAAATTTGAACACTAATTTCTAGGACTTGTAGCCATTTCATTGACTACTAAAGAGTATCACTTGGTGATGGAACTTAGAAGTCTAAACGCATATGATTGGCTGATACTATTTTTTATAATACAATCAGCAGTTGTCAAGTTTTGACTAGATTTACAATACTAGTATATTATTTTTTTTTCTTGTAACTAGGAATTAAATACAAAAAGAAAGTTCATGCTGTAAAACAAAATTGGAACATTAGGAGTAAGAAGTAGAAAAAGACAAAAAGATAATCAAACAGTGAGTTGAAAGTAGCAGTGAAGTCAGCGGATAAGGGGACAGAGAATAAATATAAGGAACAATCATCGTGGATAATCACTCTCTTTTATGGCACCTCCGAGGACCACGGAACGAAAAAATAGATAGAAAGCAAATATATAGTTGATTTATTAACTAGTAACTAGTAAAGCATCAAATAAAAGATTTTCGTATTCTTTTGGCAACTCATCAATAGCAACCAGCTAGGATTGAACTGGAGAGGACCACTTACTCTAAGCAAGTAAATGCAGACACAGTTCATAACTGGCATGGCAAAAGCCCAAAAGAGGTCAAACTGCAATAATGTGAGGCAACTTAGATAAGAGATCAAAGCATTCGTAAATGAGTCATACTTGAATGAATGCAATAATATGCTTCCTGTCACACCTTCATCCCTAAACATACAGCTGTGGATTTACCTTGCATATTAAACTACTTCAGTGCGAGGAGAATAATCTACCTTGCATATGAACCCTGCGATGAAACGATGGATAACTCTGAATTCTGGCAGCATTTACACTACAAGAGTACAACAGTCACATATAGACGAGGGAGAAACAAAATCAAACAGGGAGCTAGGTTGAAATTTGAACTTTCAGCTAATTTATACGGAAGATCTTGCCAGCAGAGTTCACAAATATCCTTGCTGTCTCGTGGACTTTTATGCATTTTGCTGCAACAGCCATAGTGCCTGCTGCACAAATCAAGTATTTGACCTACACCAGTTCACAAGTACGCAATTTATTAAAAACTGCCTCCAGAAAGCTCTTTAATCTTAAACAAGAACAGAAGTTAAAGAATCAAAATCCACTCACAAAATTCATTTACTCAACCAGATGTGTTAGTTACATAACCCTTCCAATTTGAATGATTAATTAAGCAATGACACGTAAATGCATAAAGTAGGCTCTTTGATCTTGAGTTACAATTCCACTCATTTGGGTTCGTCTTGCCAATACCGAGATCAAGGCAAGAATTCCCTCCTGCCAAAATTCCCCCAACCCAAAAAAGAAAACGACTTGACTTCAAATTAGTGAAATGATGGTAGATTCTTAAATTTTAATGGATGATCATTTCTGAAATATGCTTCACTGTGAGCAGCATAAATGGCACAACTAACCCCCAGTGTGAGGACAAACTTCCTATAATATGAAGCCGGTTAAAAAGAAAAATCTTGAAGATTCAGTCAAAAGCGAAGCAACACCTTCAGTCCATCAGCTGTATAGTTCTTCAAGACTTGATCAAAGACACCAAATTCCAGTTAATTTGTCTCCTTTTGGAACAGTCTTTAGTTTTTCTTTATGGATCACTAATGCATTCACTTTCATGCTAAAGAAATAAACATTAACTAATATATGTCTTCTAGTTTCATTTAGTTTTTCATTGATCCAAAATATTCATTACTTTTCCTTAACGAGGAAGACCAGATTTATTTACAGAAGAGATCTATTGTCAAGTGAAATATTTGCACATTTTTCTAAGCTGATCTCTTTTTTTGCCCCTTGTCTACTCATGTGCTTCTCGAGTCCGTTACCTCGTGAAACCAAAATGACTTGGACGTATTCTTTGTTGTTCTTATCATAGCGGACTGGAGTACAACGAGGCCAAACACTTCAATTTTTGGGCTCATTATTGATTCCTTGATTTTACTTGAACTAAAATTGGGATATTCCAGGACCAAATTGAGAATTAAGGCAAGTAAATGAGATATATTGAAGACTTGGAGATTCGAACAAGTACAAAGTGTTAAGCATAGACAAGTATAAATATTTTCAATAGAGAAAGTAAATATCGCTGGAAAACGTGTTTGAAAGTTGTCGGAAAAGTCGATCTTGCTAGGAAAATTATTGTTGCAAAAACATTGTTTGGCAAGTGGCACGCTGCATGGCTGGATGGTCAGTAGAAAGCGGCACAGCGCTACCAGAACAATCATGGAAGGAGGCTTGACTCTGCCAAACTTGCATAATTCCTCGAAAAGAGGCAAGTCACTGCTGAAGCGATTGCAGAGGAGTGGTATTGGAACGGTCACTAAAGAGGCGTGGTTCCCCGGAGCAATCGCTGAAAAGAGCAGTGCCGCCAAAAGGGTTGTCAAGACGAGGAACGGTTTTAGAGTGATCGCTGGACAGAGGCATGCATGACGCGCTTGAGCAACTGCCAAAAAGAAGGGTGGTGATCCCATAATTATTACCAGAAAGAAGAAACGAAGAAGAGAATTTGGCTAGGCAGACAACCCTATCATTAGAAAGAAGACGATCCTTTAGCCGGGCAGGCAGCATAAGACCGCTGGTAGGCAGAAATTGCAAGAGATTTGAGGGCTTGATAATTTGATGAATACAAGGCACATCAATTTATAGGTGTTTAAGACAAGACATGTATGACGTTAGTCCAATTTGGAAACAGAACCTAACACTTAAAGTTCAAACATTCTAACTCTTAACATTTCAGTACTAACGATTACCATTCTTAGAATGGATACAGAGTTACTCAATACATGCGCTGGTGGTGGACACCAACATTATTTAAAGAACACAAGGACTTAAAAAAAAAGAAGGGAAGAAGACTCAACTCTCTGTCAGACTGGCCAGCAGGTAATTGATCTTATTAACTATCTTAAAATCCCCTCCTAAAGGTCCTTGGGAGCATTAAGAGTGCAATGAAAATGGAAATTGCTCCCCTAAGAAATTACCAGCAGTCCACAGTTTCTGGGAAGCATATCAGAATATAACAAGTTCTGTCCAGTTCCATAAATATTAAACGTTATAAAACAAATATTTCTGCTTCAACTAACAACTTATGATGAATAAGTCAAAAAATTTAATTTAATGCACACACTAGTTTTCCTCCTTTAAGGATATCAATAACAGACTGATGGATAAACTAATTAACACCTAGAAGGGTGTTGTAGGCTTTTAGCACACGAAGATCGACAGCAGCATCAGTGATCACTTTTACACAAATGCACTAGATTGTAACATTAATTTCAATATAGACCCAAAAATACTGTCACATGTTTTGATTATGCTGCATGGAAGAAACAAACTACCTAGCCAACTAAAAGATAGTAAGCTGCTTAGTATTGGAAATGTTGCCTTTTATCATCTTTAAGCATGCAATGTCATGATCAAGTTTGAGCCTATATGATGAATTTATTATATCTCTGGGAATTAATTTTTTTAGCTTATTCATTGCAGCTCTATTTGCCCTTTGTTTTGAACATAGCTTTCCAGAAGCAATGACTTTAAAGCCCCTTACAACTCAAGGATTAAGTGGCACAAGCCTATAGAACAAGTCCCATACCGGCACTTGGCTCGTATGAAAGGGAAAACACCTCCCTAAATTACAACAAAGAAGCTATCGGTGAGATTGCTAGAATATATTCAGCTAAAAAGTCAACTTACAGTTGAAAGAATGCAAAATTGAAGTTCTGAAACATCTCAGATTAGTAGCTCTCACTAGAGTAAATCACATCTTTGGTTCAAACCACAACAACTGGGTACGCCTTACTAGTCCATTTCAGCAGATATAGCAATGCAATAGTATGTTATCGCACAGATATGTTTATCTTAAGAAATTCATATAAAACTACTAGTAGGAACAGGAACAGCACCACATACCTCAGCAGCTAAGCGATGGTCATGCATACGTGCATGCCATCCATCTTCTTTCTTAAACACAAATCTTTGGCTTTATGCTTGTCTCCAAACTACTTAAGATAACTGCTCTGAACCTTGACATAACTATTGACACTTGATTTTGATTCTCTTTAATGATACTCTCCACTTGCCCGTCACTAATGCGGACAAGAAATTTTTCACATATAAAAAGCAGTTACAGATCAGTCATAGCTTGATTCCTAATTGAAGAAACTATATACCGACCATTTGTCTCCGACCATTTGTCTCCTTATTGAACCAAAAACAATTGGATCACTTGTCTAATTCAACACAAAGATTTTGAATTTAGACAGGACATTGAAGCTTATATCATAGCATATATACTGATTTTGAGTGTGTATATATCAACGACATAAGTATATTTACAAAAAGCCGAACATCCCAGCAGTTAAAGAAATTCTTTTTATGCATACTTTTATTGAGTATGGAGATTTCACAACCAAAATGCTATATAACTCAAGTAGTCACCAGAACCTAAATTCCATTTTCAGCATCCATACATGAGTAAAACACAGAAAGATCATCAATTGTTTCCTAATTCTATACCTACCAATCCAACTTCCTTTCAGTTGTCAGCTAATAAAAGGTATAATAAGATTATCAACTGATGTTCGATTCAACAAAAAGATGAAAACTTTAATACAAACTAAAATTGTTTTCAGTTCAGTTAATTGACCATATCACACAACACTTTTTATATGTACAAGCAGATATTAAATTAAAACACTGATTAAGGTATATCTCATCTCATGGGTAGGAGTAGAAGCAGCAAAAACAGCGACAGCAGCGCCTGAAGCAGCTACAGTACATATAGCGTGGCTGTGACCGGCGATTGCCAGTACCAGAGTTTGATGTGGAAACTGGCACAGCGTTGTCCATCGGACCTTTGTAGATGAATTCTTAATCAGATTCTCAATTTTCGCGAGAGTATTTGACGGCACGTTTTCTGTCCCCTGCTACATTAATATGCGCATTGTATTAACATTTCCTTTTTTCCTAGAGTCTAGGCAATAGAGCTTAAACTTCACCTTTCCCTAATTATCCTTGTTAGGTGCAAAGAATATTCTATTGTTAAGAAATTGGAGAATTTTTAGCCAAATTATTCTTTATTTTTGGGATATGCTTAACTTAGTTCTCTAAATATAATACTGTGTTATATGTGTCCTCTAAGTTTCCAAAATTTGAGCATTTTTAGTCTCTTCCATTAAAAACCTAGACACAACACATGTTTTGCCTTAAGAAAAGAAGTTCCACTCTTTCACTCCAATTCAGTCTATTTCCCTCCTCTTTCAAGACCCTAGCTTCTCCAATCTATTCCTTTTATCTCTACTACAATAGGTATTTTATCTCTATTATAGTAAGTAAAAAAAACCTAGCCTTCTTGATTACATTTTCAAGTCTTTACTACTTTGGCGATCCCACTAATGATTATTAGGAGAAATAATAAAATAATATACATATTCCTTCTTAATTTTTTTTTGTAAAATCTTTATTATTTTTACAATACTTTACTGGTTTTTGAAGTTCTATAATATAGTAGCACTAATCTTGAATTTTATATGTCATACAAAAGGTAAAGGGCAGCCCGGTGCACTAAGCTCCCGTTATGTGCGGGATCCGGGAAAGGGCCGGACTACAAGGGTCTATTGTACGCAACCTTACCCTGCATTTCTGCAAGAGGCTATTTCCACGGCTTGAACCCGTGACCTCCTGATCACATGGCAACAATTTTACCAGTTACGCCAAGGCTCCCCTTCATGTCATGCAAAAGGTGAATAGTATAAAATAAATATTGTATGCGAACTCCATTCTTTATTCCATCATTCAGTGGTTCCAATATGTACAATTATTAAGATGTATTTTTTGCTTTTGCATAGCCCTTATAGTTGCAGTCTTTTTTTATGTCTAAATAATAGTTCAATTTTTTTTGTTTAAGTAGATCCTTGATATGAAGCAGAATATTTTACTACTAAAATAATATATGGTGGTTTAATGAATCACTTACAAGACATTATATTGAGACAGAATGAACTTTATTAACTATGTCAATGGGGCTGAATCGAAGTTGTTGGTATTCAAATCTATGGTTGAATTGTGCGATTATAGTAATGACTCGGTTACTTTTTGGAACAAGCATGTGAGGTTATGTGACAAAATGAGACTTGTTTCAACCGATGCTGGAGCCGTTGATATTGTACAAAATATTCCAGTTATCGGATAGTTGAAGTGTACTTTGAACATTTGAATTCATATATAAAAATGGGTATTGAGGATGCTATCTACGAGGGACGAAGCAACTCAAGAAATAAAAATCATGCTACTATTGGAGAACATCATAAGGAAGTTGGGATGAAAATTCTTCAAATAGTGATTTTGAGATTCAAAAAATAACTTGTCAGATAAAAATATTTATCAAAAATAATTAGAAATGAGAAGCGTAAATATGAGATTAGTGAAGAGTTATAGACAAAGTTGAATGCTGAAAATGGGAAGTCAGACTGTTACAACTCTGATGATACAAGGAGCCTACAAAGTCATTCAGATAGAGAAAGTTTAAATTTAGTTCAATCCCAAAATATATAAAAAATACAAAATTGGCAGTACAGTTAACCTTTGAAAATAAGAGAGAGTTCATAGATGATATAATAAATCATTAAATTAGTCAAGAAAAATACATAAAATGGCACAAAAATAACAACACACAAGTGAGAGTAGTTTGTACGAAACTCAAGTTGTGAATGAGAGATTATGGCTTCAAGAATACACGTGGATAAGGCATTTCAAATTAAGACATACCATAATTATCATAGTTGTAAGAGATATAACTATAAGAACAAAATTATCACTTTCTCCTATATTGCAAGAAGATATCATGATGCCATTAGCAAGCATAGAGATTGGAAAGTCAAGGAATTCAGAATCATGTGAGTGTGAAGCTAAGAGCTCATGTGACATTACATTAATATCGAACAGCTAAGCAAAACGCGCTCAAAATAAGTGATAGAAATTTAATTGCTCAATACAAAGTAATGTAGAACTATTATAATGAAATTGGGAGGACAAATCAAAATACTTCTATCTATATGAAATTGGTTGAAAATGAGGTTCCTAACAAATCTAATAGATTTCAAAAAATCTATATTTTCTTTGGGGGCTTAAGGAAGGGTTCAAGAGTGGTTGCAGAAGGATAGTTAGAGTGGGTGGTTGATGGATTAAGGGTCCAATATATAGGACTCGGTTATTGACAATTATTGAAATTGATCCTAATAATATCTTTTCAATAGCATATGCAATTGTAGAGAAGGAAAGATTGGAGTTATGTGCTTCGTTTTTAAATTATTTGAAGTGTAACTAAGAGATCGATGATAATTATACTTGGACTTTTATGTCAGATGAGCAAAAAGATTTGATGGAAGCTTTTAATGAGGTGTTGCTATTTTCTAGTCATAGATTTTGCATGAGGCACTTGCATAACAACTTTAAGAGGGCATGATTTAGTGGTATCTCACTGAAGAATGCACTTTGGAAAGTCGTTGTTGCAGAGTTCATTCCTAGAAAGTCTAATGAGTGGAACTATGAGATTATAAGGGCAAATATACATGATTGTGGATTTCCTAAACAAAATATGCGGATGTGATCTAACATGAATTTCTGACAAACATGTCATTGCTTCTATTTTGGGCTAATAATGATAAGATTAATTCATGTGTTCATAATTCCTATATGGTAAAAATATATAGAAGTGTCTAGAGCCAAAGGATGGTCTGAAAAAGAAGAGGAGATTGTGGAGGAGCAGAAAAATAACGAAAATCAAGAATGTAAAGTAAGGGTAGATCCAGAGGATGGTCTGAAGAAGAAGAGGAAAACTAGAGCTCTCAAAAAAAAAAGAACGAAAATTCAATGAATGAACAGACTAAGGAAATCAAATATATGATTTCTCTACCTTTCTCCCAGAATCAAAGAAGAGAGAAGCAGGACAAATAATTTGGGCGTTTTCTAGAAGTGCTCAAGTAGGTGCATGTTAATCTACCTTTCACAAAGGTGCTCTCACAAATTCTAACATATGCCAAGTTCTTGAAGGAGATATTGTCAAACAAGCGAAAAGTGAAAGAGACTTTGGTTGTCAAGCTCACCGAACATTGTAGTGCAATTCTGCAAAATAAGCTCCCTCAAAAGTGTGGAGATTCAGGGAGTTTCACTATACCTTGCTCTCTAGGAAGTACTAACTTTGAAATTTTTTTGTATGATTCAGGTGTTTCTATTAATCTTATGCCCTTGTCTATTTTCAGGAACCTTGAGAAAGAAATTAGAGTAATTAGATATGTACTTGTGTCTTTGCAGCTGGTGGATCAGACTACAATAATACCCGAAGGAATAGTGGAAGATGTGCTAGTTCGGGTGAACAAATTTGCATTCCATGTGGACTTCATCATGGTAAACATGGAAGAGAATAAGGAGGTCCATATGATTCTAGGTAAACCCTTCTTGGCTACTGGTAGAGCTATACTGGATATTCAGGAAAGCCAGCTCATGCTAAGAGTAGGGGAAGAGAGAGTGGTGTTCAATATAAAGGAGGCAATAGGGGAACCTAGAGAGGAGTTGGCCGCATACTCTAATTTTAAGGTGGATGTCCTAAAGGAGCTAGCTGAAGAGGACAAGCATGATAAGTGTAGGGTATGCCCGAAGAGGTCAGAGAAGAAAATCTCGGCATGGTTGTGTGCAGTGGGTCAGGCATGCAAAGCGGACCCCGATATTGATTCAAACCTAGACTAGATAATTCAGGGGAGTATCCTTTACCTCTTGCTCTTTATTTTTATATCATGGGGACATGCCATAATTTAAAGTGTGGGATGAGGGATGTAAATATATATAGATGTTTTCTTTGTGTGTGTTTTCGTCATTATTATTTGACTTGTTCCAATAATGGATCTCCTCGACAGTGTTCTTGAGGGATTAAGGTCGAAACATAAATACAAAAATTAAAAATAAAAATTAAAAAAAAAATCCAAAAGTATGTTTTTTATTTTCTTTATTTTCTTAGGTAGTGTAACAATTCCCCTTAGTTTTTTTGTGTCGCGGTTCTTTTCTAAGATTTTTTTTTTAACCGGGTGTAGTTAATTTTTTTTAGGAATAAATGAGTCTTGAGTTGTAGTGATAATTGGAGGTAATTTTCTTTACTTTGTTGTGCCTTGAGAGCGGCGAGTGCCTAAGTTGTAACGTCTAGACTCTGTTCTTGACTCATGGATAAGTACCTTAATTTGTTTGATCTCGACTTTGCTTAAACTGCTTTGACTATAGAGTCGGGATAAATTCGATCCTAAATATATTATGTGCTAATGTGTGTATGTGTGATTTTGTTGATATTCTGTGCATGTTAATTGATGTCTAGAACTTGTCCCGCGTATTTGCAAAGCAAAATAGCAGTCTTGTTTAGTCTAGGACGTGATAGAGGCATTTCTTTGTTAAGCCAGATATATGCCTTTGACCCATCTAATTATTGTGTATCCTAGTTGTCACGACCCAAACCGCAGGCCGCGACGGGCACCCGGTGCCTTACTTAACCAAGTACCAACGTAACATATCTTTCTTATTATACCATAATGGGTAAGTAGGCCAGAAGGACTGTCATGAGATAACCAAAATAAAATATTAGGGAATACGAGACATAGGACGACCCAACATGATATAAAAACTTATACATGTAACATACGAACCTATAAGGTTGACAAGATCGTTTCTACACTCAAAACATAGGCCGACAAGGCCATATAAGTATCCATATACATAACATCTGTCTACAAGCCTCTAAGAGTACATAAACGTCATAAAGGTCAGGACAAGCCCCGTCATACCAATCAATACATGTCCAAATCATACTGACTAAATAGGTAACTCCGGAGCAAATGGAGTGCACCAACACCTTCCGCTGAGCTGATAGCCTACTAGGAGGACTGTCAACCTGTCTATTGGGACCTACGGTCATGAAACAAAGCTTTCCCGGGCAAAAGGGACGTCAGTACTAATAAAGTACCAAGTATGTAAGGCATGAAAAGTAGTATATAAAAGACATGAAAGAAACATGGAGTAAAGGACATAACCTGTAAATCTGAATAGCTCTGTAAATCATGAAACATTTATAATGTCATGCATGTGCGTATAAATATCATATCATGCATAGGTATATGCGTACATAACATCATCAAGCCTCTGAGGGCATCCCATCATATCATCTCGGCCTTTGTGGGCGAAATCATCAACGTATACTAACTGATCAGGTGGTAATGTATATTTAACGCCATAACATTTCGCCATACCCTATATACATATAATATACGTGTATATAACGTTATCTGGTCATGGGTCAATGTACATGTATAAATGAATGTAATGCATAAAAAGTAAGTCAATAAGATCTCTCGGGATGTCATAAGATCAATATGCCTTCGGTTAATATCATGAAATAAACTTTCTCAAATTATTTATTATCTAAGACCCATGAATAGACGATATAATAACAGGACACATTGGGAATTGAGAACACCCCTAGTACTTCTATGAATAGAGTCATTTATAAAAGTTGCGTATTTGCTCGTTTCGCTGTATCATATGGATCATACCAAAAGGAAAAAAGGGATAGCCTTGACATACCTTATCACAGTCTGTCCAATGACCACATTGAACTTATCTTATCGCACATTAATCCACAACAATGATAATAATACTATCATTAAGCTACGAATAATACAACTATCGTACAACGAATGACAAACTTATTTTATATTACAATGAGCAGCATCTCCCATGTTTTCCTTGCTTTCCTCAAGTCCATCAAAACAACAATAACACATACAACCTTAAACTATATACCTTCAGCACCACAACACACCCAACATCCCAACAACACCAATCAATCTACACAACAACAAGTGCACAAATGTCACCAACGAAACTACTATTTAACACGATAAGCGACAAGCTTGGATTGGAACCAAACCCCAACTCTTTTTCTATCTCCCCTGTACTTACAACACCATCAACATGTCCATCATATAAACATATATATTGACATGACATTCCAACCTTATATCCATCATAAAAGTAACATCAAACAACCCAACAAGATATAACAACAACATGAACAACTTCTAGGTATTATGTGGTTGCTTCTTCTCCTATTTACAACATCATCGACATACTCAACATATTGACAAGCATAAAAACAATAAGAATATTATAACCAAGCTATTCCCCACGATTTTCAGCCATATGAAGTCATATACACAACTCCAAAATAGTCCAATAAGAGACAATAACTTCTTATACAATTTCAAGTTCTATCTTGTAATTCTTCATCCAAATAACATTATCAAAACATAGATAAGCTTAAGCTCAAGAAATAGGGTGTTATACATACCCTAAATAATCAGAACAAACTCGAACAAAAGCTTCCCTTATTGGGTGTTATACATACCTTAAATAATCAGAAGATGTAATGAGTGCAACTAGATAGTTCTTTAACAATGCTGAGGTTTATAAGCCAATCAATTGTACACTGATCTCCAAAGTCAAAAATCCAACCTTGGTAATAAAATTTGATAGTTATAAAACAAATTCAATTAAATTTATAAAAAATAAATACTTTTGGTATGCATTAAATATTTTGCAAATAATGCTTAGAGTTAATGACAAATGTATTAAAAAAATTAAGAACCAATATTTGGAGGTACGATTTTTGCAGCTTCTACTGTTGTCTACTTTTTGTGTTTATTGTCATTTTTAGGTGTATTTTTAATTTTTTTTAAATCTATTTTTAGTGTTTGGTGTAATTATTGGTGTTGCAGATTTCGAGATTTGATATGATTTCCTAATATTTCTAAGTTAATTTTTTTTTTTTCCTAAAAACTAAAGTGCTCAATATTGGAAAACCTAAAGGACTAAAATTGTTCAATAGCATATTTAAGGGACTATTTAAATCTTTCCCCCAAACTTAAGGGAATCATTTTTGTCATTTTCCCCGAAAATTTAAAAACAAAGTTTTGGGGGGGTATCATGACTTCATGATAAAGTTTAGTGATAAAGTGTAATTTACTCTTTTTAGTTTCTTCCCTTCTTCCCGTTTCAATTTGGAAATTCCTGCAAATACTCAATTCCAGCTTCTCAGTTGAATCATGGAGTCATCAGCCTACGAGCTGAATGCCTTATCATCGTGGGAATATCTGAGTCTATTCCTCTTTCGTCCCCTTCTTGCTATCATCTTCGTCCTCTCCTTACTCCTCTTAGGTCTGTCTATTTTTGTAAAAAATCTCGAATTTCAGCTAAAAGCATTTTGATTGTGAAAATTTTGTGCAGGTTGGTTCTTGGCCTGGAAATTAGTTCTGGTTCATGTACCTTTGGTACAAGAAATATTTGGTTTGCGGAAGAAACCCGTTAACCGGAAACCCGAAAATCGGCGGCGGTTGACTCAATTCTACAACAACCTGAACTCACAATCTTCTGTTTCCCAATGGTAAAATTTTGTCTAATCTTAGTAATCTAAGACCTTGGGACTCAGAAAAAGATTTAAATTCTATTTGATCTCTATATTTGCGTCCCAGAGAATTAGTGATTTATCGGATTCTGTAGTTTCAAAACTAATTTTTTAATTGATTGTTTTTTTTAAATGTTTGCGGTTATTCAATTGTCTTTCCACAAATACTATAATTGTTTTTCCACAAATACTATAATTGTTAATCTTACTCTCTCTTTTTTGTGCTTTGCTTAAAAGGATGTAGAGTATTAGAGATTAGTACAAATTTTGGTGGGGGTATTTGGTACCCTTTAGAGTCTCGTACCAAAACTTCCATAGAAAAAGAATTGGGGGAATAATAATTCATAATTAGCTCAAACACATTTAGGTTGGAATCCGTATTTGTTAAAACATCAACTACTTGAGTGCCCTCCCTATATGTGTGACCAACTATTGGGTTTCCTAGCTCAACCAGAAGGTACCTGCAACCATTAATGATTTACAAATAACCAAATATGTTTCTTAGTTCCTATGTGATTTATCAGTCTGTAAACTAAAAGTCATAACAACAACAACAACAACATACCCAGTGTATTCCCACAAATAGGGTTTGGGGAGGATAGTATGTGCGCACACCTTTGTGCAGGTAGAGGGTCAACTAAAAGCCATAACATTGGAAGCAAATTCCGTAGATCACTATCCTTTTCCCCCTTGCCTTCCCCGATCGCTTTCTGTAATCTGATTTTACTAAATGTTGTAACAACTTACTAATTTCTTTTTGCTGAATTTAACAACTTATTAAATTTTTTTGTGAATTTAATAACTTACTATACTTTTCATTTCATCAATTATGAGACAAAGAAAGAAAAGAACCAAAGAGTACCATGCCCCTCCTGTATAAACTACTCATTCTGTACCAATCTTTCATGATTCGATGAGTCACCAAGATGTAGGATGTTCTTTTCATAACCTTTCCGTTATTTAAATTTTGATGATGTTCTATGCCCTTTGTTGTTTGATTTCTTACCCTTTTAACCATCCACGTGCCTAGGTTATATGTAGAGTCTTAATTGGTCCTTTTTATATGTAAGAAATTCAAAGTGGTAAAAGTCCGTAAATAAAAATACCAGAGCAAAGGTTTGGATGAACCACAATGCAATCTAACAATATTTGGTAGTCAAGCACTAAAGTCTAAGAGATTGTCTTATGTGAAGAAAATCCAGAATGAAATCACACAGGAATTAGACTGCTGCTGAGAAACATTATATTCCTCAAAACCTTTTAGGATATATAGAGCTAGAGCTACTTCTGAAACCTTTCTTGGCCTAATTCCAGAATGTTTCTCAGTAGCAGTCTAGTAATCCTGCTGATCAGTTGTAGCTACCTAGGCCAACTGATCAGCAGGATTACTGGACTGCTTCTGATAAAATAACATTCCTCCGAACCTCCATATAGAGCCTCTGCAACCATCAATCTACGCCAACTTTCCTCCTAAATGTGGATTTGGAACCGGTCATGCTTTGAGAAGTTCATATAAGTGGAGTTAACTTTGAATACCTAACTCTTTTGTAAAAATCATTTAATTGATATATGGAGTGTTATCATTTAATCACTTTTAACATCTAGATTCAATATCCATTCTGAGAAAAGGAGATCGAAAATGAACTATACTTTAAACGACATGAGAATTTCAGTCATTGTTTTGCAGATAATTGTACTATAATCATAATCTGTTGTCAGTGGAGTGAATTTCCTTGGCTTAATTAATTTTCTCTCTCCTCCCTGCATCCTTCCTTTCTTTGTTATTCAAATTGATGAATAGCTTGATCGGTTCTGATAAACTGAAAGAGAGAGCGGGAATCTTTAAAAATTAAGGGAAATATCCTATTTCCATCTATTTGGTGAGACAGCTATCTATTCTTGATTCATCAAATAGGAAGCGATCTATATATCTGCTAAAACAAAAGACCAGATCGGCAGATCGAATAGAAAATTTTGGATTTTTTGGTTTGTTTGTGGTTTTCTGGTCTGAGTTTAGATAAAGGATTTTAAAATTTTGGGCATTCAGTTTTTATTATAAGGATGTTGCAGCTTCACTTAGGCTTGAACTCGTCTTTTCAAAGTTTTAGTCTTTCTTTATCTGCCTCACTTTCTTACATTTACACTCGGGGGCACACTTAGTATTTTGCCCAGAAGTATGTGATTTGGGCAAAGGATACATGTGAATGATTGTGAAGATGAGATCTACTTAATTTTTCCTGTACGAAGATTCTTTCTTGTTTATTTGTTTGTCATTTTTTGAGAAGGGTGAAAAAAGGAAATGAGTTGAGCATCCTGATGTTTTTTTAAAGAACTCTTTGGTTGTGGTGTAAAATATTAAATGGCTACTCCAAAATATAAGATTACCTTTATTTATGAAATTTTGATAATTATTAGTGTAAGTATCTCTTTTCCATCAAAGAATTCTTGAAAAAAATACCATTTGTTTGTTTCATGCAGTTATTTCTGTGGAAAGTGTGCTTAATTATCTTGTCAAGTTTATGATCTCATCTAGTTTATACTAATTCAAAATTTGTTAATCCATAGCCAACAATGATGATGGCGCCAAATGAAAAGGCAAAACTGGAAACACCAAAACAATAAAGCGAAGAACCAAATAAAAAAGCCAAAGTGAAAAAATGATTGTATTCTCTCAAATTCAAAAACTGATTGTTTGAATAAAAAAATATGAACTCGAACTGAATAGCCAAATGTACTCCCCTGGTTTGGAAGAGGGGGAGGGTGAAGGAACTAGAGCTGTTACTTTCTGGATAGGTGTATATTGAGTGTTCCTTGTCAGAAAGGTATAAATGGAGTATTGTTCTAGTCACTCGAAATTATGTTCTCTGCCACTCTGAAATAGTCAGTGGAACTTCGCGTGATTACCATTAGTTTCTTTTATGCCCTTATGTTCTAGGTTCTAAGATTAACTATCCTAAATAACCTAGCCTAACATAAAATTTATACTTTCTATGATAATATTCTTTCACCATCCCAAATAGACTAACTGATCTTAAATCTACTCCTTCTAGCTAAATATCCATTTTGTGTGCAGTTCTGCTGACTTGCAATTCATGAAGAATAATTTCCTACACGTCAAATTATTCTCTCTTTTATATCTGGGATCGCCTCTACTTTATCATTTACAATCCTGAATGACCTGGCGTGATGTAATGTTCATCTTTCTGCATAATTTAACATATTCTGTGCTGTTCTAGCGACTTGGAATTTCTGTGGAACAATTTCCTGCCTGTCAAATTATGCTTTCAGGTGCTGTGATATAGTTAGTGGAACTTCAAAGGATTGATGATTAGTTTTTCTTTTTCCCTGTATCCACAACCCCGCTAAGGATATGCCAGAGGGTCATGAGATACATGTGCTAGGCAATAGAAGTCTTTGGTGGTTGAAGACTGACTGTCTTGGTCTCATAAAACACAAACATAGCAGTGGTAGTCAGAGTAGTTTTACCTGTGAGATGAATATTTAAGCTCTGATCTTGCTAGGTGTCAGAAGTATCACTCGTCCTTGTTAGGTAACTACAGATTTGAACATATTTTGAGGAGAGACATTTGTTAACATGCAACAGTGAGGAAACAGATTCGTTGATGAGCAAGCTTTCTCTCCTCTTCTTTAAGCGTCGAAATTTTAAGGACACTGTCACATTTTGTTGTATTATTAAGTTTTGCGTTAACATAGCATATCTTGTTGTTAAGAAATACATTCTTTCACAGAAAAGCTTTATCTTCATTTGTCATTTCAGCTTTAACATTTTAAGGAAGCTGTCATATGTTGTTGTATAGGTTTTTCTTTAACTCAACATCTTCTTCTTGATCATTTTAACATGAATGTAAACTCTATTTCAAGCACAAAAAATATCTTAGCATTTTTTTACCTGCTGAGCTTGCAGTTGTTCAGCTTTGTGTGATTTAATTTGATTGTAGACTGTATAGGTAAGCTTATGGTGCCCATGATTAGGAGCTGAAGTTTCTTGTGCTTTGGGAAGTTGTCAGGCGTTAATCTCCGTCATCAGCACATTTATCTTCAGCTGATCTTGATTCACGCTTAAACACTTAGTTCATCATTTTCCTCATATGATGTTCTTTCATAAGTATATGACGTTTGGGGTAGTTGTTGCAAGGCCAATCACTGGGAAGCACATCGTCGAAATTGATGATTAAATCTGCGTATATTTAATAGATGCACGTGTTGTGTTTTATAAGAAGAGGATCCCTTTTTCTTTTGATCATGATATTATGCAATAATCTAAGTATATCTGATTAATTTTTCTTTATATTTTGTCCCTAATGTTTAGATTTTTGCTTTACGAAGTTTTCAACTGTTGGTATGCAACTTGTTGAAAACTAGAAGTTTTACTGTTAAAGGTGAAATGGCGAAAGTGAAGGGGAACAAATGTTAAACACTCCAACATACGAGGGAATATATGAAAATTTAGCCTAGTTGAATAGAAACAAATTATCAGGATAGCTATAGGGTTTAGAACAATAAAGCTCATTTACTATGTTGGACTTTCCACACAGTACAAAGTTGAACTGTTAATATGCATTTGGAGAGAGAAGTGCGACTTCATTTTTTTTCTCTATAAAATAACTTTATTTGAGAAAATTGAAGTTTCTAAGGACCCGTTTGGCCATGAGTTTTGCCAAAATAAATTTGAGATTTATTTGGCAAACACATGTTTGGCCATAGATTTTGCCCACATTTTGACAAAATTTCAAATCCAAAATCCCAAAATTACCTCAATTGCTGATTTTGGCCCAAAACATGACCGTTACATTTTTAAATTTTTTTAAATATTACCCAAAACTTTTATAATTTATAAAAGAGCCCACATTTATTACGACCAACTAAATATTTGATGAATATGCTCCCTTATCAGCTCAATCCTTTGTGCATCTTACTTTTGCTTCTGATTTGTAGGCTAAATGGCTTTCTGAACACTCATATCAGTTAATTTCTTAATTAGGAGCCGTAATTCTCTAATGGGATTTCACTGTAATTAATGATTTATATAGTTCATTATAAAAATGATAATTTTGTACCAAACTTATTTATGTTTAGGGCTATGGTTTGTGATAATGATACTATTGGGTATTTGTGATAGTTGTTAGAACTTGTGGGTATAAGTCATGTTTCATGTTTTTTCAAATAAAAAGTGAAATATGTTTTGAAAAAATATGTCCAAACACATTTTCATTTTCAAATAAAACTTTACCAAAATCAGATTTTTCAAAATAAATTTGGGAATTTATAGTGAACGCTAGCTAAGATTGAGCCAAATAAGCTTTTGGATGAGGTCAATATAGACCGTCACTGTGCGCTGTGGTGTACATAATCCTCCTTCCCCAGTTTATTGCCAAATAAGCGTCTTTCAAGATTACATTCTTCTCTTGGCTCTTTTTTGTTTAAATCATGCTTTGAGATCACTTGAATGTGGCAATTACCGTGTGTTTCTAATTTATTTTTACTTTTTCTTTGGTTGATAAGTACAAATGTAATTATACTGTGGTTTCAGTGTAAGCAACATAATGACATACTATATCTAGGGGAACTTTTATCATAGTATCGCTTGGTTTAATCTCAGAACCAACGTATCTACTCCTTCAGTCCTTTGTCTAGAATTGAGGTATCGTTGTATTTCGATATTCTTGCATTGCATGATTTGGTGCTAAATCAATGGTCATACACTAATATTTGAAATATCACTTGTCCTAGCCATCTAGATACTTTTCTTGCCTGAATATTTCTTTGGAGTATATACATTCATGAGCTCTGCTTGTTCCGCACATGAAAGCTGAACTTATATATCCGTATTAGAATCGCAGTTGGTAAAAGAATCATCTTTATTGAGGTTACCAGAGCTGGCATTTAAAATTTAGACAACAATAACAAACCCAGTGAATTCTCATAAGTCTCCCATAAGTGGGGTCTGGGAAGAATAAGATACGCAGCCTTACCCCTACCCTGGAAGGGCAGAGAGACTGTATCCGATAGATCATCGGCTAAAGTAAAGGCAACAAGTAGTAACAACAACAAGATAAAAAGACAAGACCAAATCCAAGATAGCAATTACACGCTAGGTAGTTATAGCAATCTAAGAATAAAAAGATATCATACTAGCACTAATGCTACGACTGAGAAGACAAAGGGAAAATGCTCAGCTACTTACTAACTTACTACCCTAATCCTCGACCTTCACACCCTCCTATCAAGGGTCATGTCCTCAGTAAGCTTCAACTGCGCCATGCCCCGCCCAATCACCTCTCCCAAAGACTTCTTTGGCCTACTTCTACCCCTCCTTATATCCACCAAGGCTAACCCCCCACACCTCCTAACAAGGGCTTCTATGCTTCTCCACTTAACATACCCTAATCATCTCAACCTCGCCTCCCACATTTAAAATTTAGGAAGAAAAGAAAAAAGGCAAAATAACAAATGATTTTTGTATGCCCAGAATCAAGTTAGATATTAGAAACTCATTTTTCACAGTAGAAATGACACTCCAAAGGGCTGCTCTTTAGAAATAAGCCAGTGCGTTCTGAATTTCAATTTTTCAGTTTAATATTTCAGGATAAAAGTGTTCCGAATTATCGTGAAGTTAAAATTTTTAGTTTAAAATTTCAGGACAAAATAAGTAGTGTCTAAATAGCATCGCAGAGAATGACTGTCCGTGCACTTCCCCTCTTAGTGATATCAGCGTAACAATCTTGAAGAGACGAAGAACAACCATTAACAGCAAAACCATGGATTTGCATTATTTAAAAGATATTATTTATATTTTAGCTGTTCTGGATTGATGGTGGTGTATAAACGAGCATCCAATTATAAGTGTGACATATTTATATCATGTTGTTGGTGATAGGATAGCATATTTCGAACTCCAGCAGAAGAATTGACATGGTCGAGCTAGTCACTAGTAGTGTTCCTTTTTGTTTGTTAGTCCGACTTGGCGGTATAGAGTATTGACGTGAATCAAACCGTCGTAACTCTTATTCATAATAACCCGTTGGAGTATCCGAGGTTGGTTGGTTGTCTAATACCTTTCACAATCTATGTTTTTGCTTTTTCGTTTTTCTTTTTAAATTCTCTTTTTGCTCCTAGAGGGCCTTTTCTGCTAAGATGGTGCTATGCTACTCTACTATTTTGATGTAAAATTTTATTTACAACATTTACGAGTTTTTCTTTGCGGAAATAAATTCTTTATAATTACGATTTAAATTAACGATCATAAATATTATTACACTTGCTTCTCCTATTAGCCCATGTGAAGGATATTTATAAGTAAAGCTAAATCAAAGTTGTTCCTGCGAAAGTACTTATTTGTACATATTTGATGTCTCATTACTTTCTGTATGTATGCCTAAGTCTTGCACTAAAGGTATTCCCAACATGCAACATAAGATAATAACAATTCTAGGCACATTAAAAATTTATGTACATGTTAAAGATCAAATATAAAATGTATCTTGTGAAGAGAGTCTTATTTCAAAAATTTCTTCGATAGGCGTATCCATACCTAGACTGATCCTTGCTATCAACTCGTTGATCAATGAAACCCACAAACAAATTGAAAAATTTGTGATGAAGTTTTCTCCAAAAGCTTCAACTCAAAATAAAAAGAACAGGAGAAACAGTTTTCTTGTTAATAATATTTTCTCTCTTGTCTTTGTATTGCACTCTTACTTTTACAAAGTAATTTTCTTCTCAAGATTCCGACATCTTTCCTCCATCACTCTTTATATAGCATCATGTATAAATCTTTTTCCTGTTTAGTTGAAGTAATGATTTATTTGAGATAAAAGTTTATTCCAAAAAATAAACATTATAGAATTTCATGGAAAAATTAGAATCCCATTCTTAATGGGATACATTGCCGCAAGTCCTCTTAGGGACTTTACATGTGAATCCAAATTCCAATTGGATTTCACTTAATAAGTCTCCATCTGTGCTACCAAAAAATATAATAATATTTTATTTATACTAATAATTTAATTTATTTGAATTAAGTTCTCTAATTTAATTATCAAATAATAAATTAATTAATTCTTTGGCAAAGATCAGAACATTCGTCAGTGTGCAACCTCATAGGTTCAATACTAAATCGGTAGTGAATTAATCAATTAATATACTAATCAAGGGTAGCGTCTAGCAACACTCCTTAATAACCAGATAAACTGAAGTATACAATTTACTCTCAAGAACCCATAGAAGAATAAAGTTGTATTTTCTTCTGTATATATAGTTTTGAGTCACCTTATGATATGGTTCAACTGTCAAATCCCAATAAGTGACCAACTATGTGTTCATGTCAAATATAATCGACCATTAAATGTCCTAAGAAACTCTTTTCTTCATTTATTCAATTGTCCTGGTCAAGGTCTTAATTTGGTCGTTTATAGTTCATGACAACATAGAGTTTAAACTCATTACCAAGAGTTGGTATGTTTCATCTTGATCAATCACTAATTCTACAAGTATTTAATCATGCCCGATATCTTTTCAACTATAACCCTAGGGCTATAGTTATCAAAGCACAATAAATAACTTGTACATTACTATGACGATCACAGGTCAAATGAAACTCTTACGTCACATTCTTCAAGAAAATATCCTATTGACAGTTTATGATAATTTTAACCATTAGGAATTCTCCAATGAATCGGTTCAATGATCTTATCTCTATATACATCATCTATACATGTGATTTAGTTAATGAGATCAACTAATCTTTATCCCATAAAGATGATCACATAGATATTGATCTAACTGGATTACTAAT